GTGAAAATACAAAAATTTTGTCATTGCTTTAACATTCAATTTTTTTTCCCTGTCCTCTTTCATTTTCAGAAATGAATTTGTATGAAGCAAATCTATAAAGGAGAGCAGTAGAGGTGAAAATATCATGGAAAAGGCAAGCGCTTTGACTAGTAAACTCATCGAGTTGAGACAAGTGTGAAAACTCATTACAACCTGAATTTCTCACACATCTCCCTTTCTCCTCCCTTTTAAACTTCCTAATAGAAAAAGTTGAATTCACGTTATTGGCACCTCCACTATATGCCTTCACTTCCATAAAAAAATAATAAATTAGAGGTAGCTCCTTTTCCACATTTATTTTAATCTAGAATGTTGTGATCCCTCAGGATTTATTTTATGGTTTCTCAAAAGACCAAATCTTGGAAATCTCATTCTTAAACCCATGGGGAATATATCTATTTCTACTTTATTTGCGCAGGTGAATTGAGAGGGAATAGGGTTTGATTTAACACTTGTTAAAGTCTGTAGATTATGTATTAAAGGCATTGCAGAAAAGAATAAGAACTGCAATGAAGTTCAATTTTGTTTCGTATTTGAAGATAATATTGCTGACCATGATATAACTCATCTGTTAATGAAACTGAAAAAATAATGAATTTGTAATTCCATCAGCTTTTATCAGTGGCTTATTTTCTCCAATCCAATATTTTTGTTAACTACCTACAGGCAGAGAAAATCTTTTTCTTAATCTCTAAATCTCTAATATATCGTGAGTAAAATAACAGAGGTTCATTGAGCACCTCCTTTGTGCCAGGTGCTTTACACACCTTATTTTCTCTTATTAGCAAATCCGTTTTTATTTGCAGATGAAGAATCTGATGCTTAGAGTTTCAGTTACAACTTTTCCAAGGTCACATAATGAATACGTGGCAGGGTCCACATTCCACGTCTGGCTTCTGTTACCCCATCCAGCACTCTTACCTACCGTTTTATACTTCCTGCAAAGCATAATATGGCCGGGACTATTTTTGCCTACCAAATATTCAATCTCTTTCTTCCTTGTGATAACAGAACCCTGAATATTAGCTGAGTGTATTCTCAGTAGAGGCCATTTTTCAGCCTGTCTTGCAGCTAAGGATGGGCGTGTGATTTGGTAGTATGTGCAACATATAATGTGTAAATGGAAGTGCTTTGTGAAATTTTTTGCTTCCAACCTCACCCTCACTTCATGAAATATAGAATGATGCCTGTAGCTTTAGTAGCCATCTCGCCCCATCAGATGACCTTGAGGACAGCAAGGCTGGAGATGAAAGAGCACATCCTGAGGTTCCCTGAGGACAACGTGGAGATGGCATGCCAATTCCTGTCTGCCCCTTCTGGACTTCTTTTGCATGAGTGAGAAATAAACTTCCACCTCTTTGTGTTTTGGTTGTTCTTGTTTTTTGAGATGGAATCTCACTCTGTCACCCAGGCTGGAGGGCAGTGGCACAATCTCGGCTCATTGCAACCTCCACCTCCTGGGTTCAAGCGATTCTTCTGCTTCAGCCTCCAGAGTAGCTGGGACTACAAGCTCCCGCCACCAAGCCCTGCTAATTTTTGTATTTTTAGTGAAGATGGAGTTTTACCATATTGGCAAGTCTGGTCTTGATCTGCTAACCTTGTGATCTGCCTGCCTCAAGCCTCCCAAAGTGCTGGGATTACAGGTATGAGTCACCGCGCCCAGCCATACTTCCACCTCTTTGAAGCCAGCTAAATTTACTCCTATAGACATAGTGCGTCACACTCAGTATCTTTTTATGGAATTGAATTTGCTTGCTATGGCCAGATATTCCCTTGTGCCTCTTCTCGAGTCTCCTTCCTTTAAAACCTAGCTTATATTTCAATTTGTCTACAAAGCTTTCTTTGACCACCAATTTCACTATGGTGAATTTCAAATAAGTTACCAGGTTTCAAAAAAATTTTTTTTTTAAAAAAGCTTTTATTATGAAAAATTCCAAACATACAGAAACACAGAATAATATAATGAAATACGTCTTACGAAGAGTTTCTCTATTAGTCATAAAGCTTGACTTGATGTCACAGGATGGGCTCCCACCCTCACTTTTCCACATGTGTCTTTCTGCAGTGCTGAGCTCAGTTTAAGAGGGGCCTCCTACAAATAGCCAATTTTTAAAATTTGGGGAAATTTCCTATTATTTTGTACTTTATATTATAAAATACATATGCAGATAGTTTCTACTACCTTAATGATTCAAAAAATGTTAGACTAGGTAGGACACTGTGAAAGTTGGCCCTAGTAGTTGGGGCCAGGCCCGGTGGCTCACGCCTGCTTTCCCAGCATTTTGGGAGGCTGAGGTGGGTGGATCATAGGAGGTCAGGAGTTCGAGACCAGCCTGGCCAATATGGTAAAACTCTGTCTCTACTAAAAATGCAAAAATGAGCAGGGCATGGTGATGCACTCCTGTAATCCCAGCTACTTGGGAGGCTAAGGCAGGAGAATCACCTGAACCCAGGAGGCAGAGGTTGCAGGCCAATGTACTCCAGCCTGGATAACAGAGTAGGACTCCATCTTTTTTTTTTTTTTTTAAGAGACAAGGTTCTCCATGTTGGTCAGGCTGGTATTGAACTCCTGACCTCAGGTGATCCGCCTACCTCAGCCTCCCAAAGTGCTGAGATTATAGGCATGAGCCACCGAGCCCAGCAACTCCATCTCAAAAAAAGAAAAGAAAAGAAATAGTCTTTTGGCTAAACAGAAATACCATATGACCTAAAATTCTACTCCTGGGCCTACACTCAAGAAAATTGAGAACATGTTCAGACAAAACTTGTGCACAAATGTTCACAGATTAGCATTGTTCATAGTTGTCAAAAAGTGGAATCAATTCAAATATCCATTAGCTGATGAGTAGATAAACAAAATGTAGTATATCCATACAATGGAATATTAGTCAGCCATAAAAAGAATGAAGTACTGGCATATTTTACAACATAGATGAGCCTTAAAAACATTATGCTGAGTGAAATAAGCTAGACTCAAGAGGCTATATATTGTATGATTTCATTTGTATGAAATGCCCAAAATAGGAAAATCCATTGAGACAGAAAGAAAATTAGCAATTGCTTGGGGTTAGGAGTAAGAATTATGAAATGTTCTGAAATTAGATAGTGGTGATGGCTTCATAACCTCATGAATATACTAGAAATCACTGAATTGTATGCTTTAAAATGGTGAATCCAGTGGCATGTGAATTGTATTTCAATTTTTTAAAAAAACTTTGTACATGGTTTTTATAGCAGCACAGGCAATTTTTAGGATAAAATCCTTTAAGTGGGATTGGTGGGTCAAAGTTCGTATGCAATTTTAATATGTAATTTTGATAGATTTTGCTGAATTTTCCCACAGATTTGGTGCCAATTTATGTCATTAACAAGTTAAGAGAATCTGTTTCCCAACAGCCTTACCAGTAGCATGCGTAATCAAACTTTTTTTTTTGTCAAACTGATAGATTAAAAACTGGTATCTGGGTGTAGTTTTAATTTGCTGCTCTCTCATTATAGCTGAAATTGAGCTTTTTTCTTTTTGCCTATTTCCTACAAAATAAATTTAATCCATTGGAAATACTTGTTTATACTGCCATGTTTTGTTACATAAGAATCTGTAATTCTTATGGTAGGGAGGAATTTGCTCTTTTTCCAGGCCTCTCCATCAACCGCAATTTCAGTTCTACCCTACAGTTTAGTATATAATTATTCAAATTAGCGATGATTCTCTTTGGCAACAAATTGAACCTTTGCAGAAAATGAACCAAGTGCCATAAAAGGAAAATAAAAGCTGACTTTTGGGCCTTTGAATCTGAGCTTTTGAAAACCAAACAAAAGGTTACAGCCTCTCCAAATTACTGATTACACAATAGTCTATGAATCCTGACATTTTATTTTTCTCCACCCCAAGGATTAAGTTAATGAGTTGTAGCTCTTTCTTCTAGCAAGAAAAATAGACCATATAAACACTAGTCATTCCCTAAATACATTTATTTGCATAGCTCTTTCCATCAGTGAAGATTATTCCTCTATCTGTATAATAACTTGGATCATAAACATGCCTATTTTCAGGGTAGAAAAGCAGATTCTGATGAGAACTCCAAGTTGAGATTAATTGCAAGGCTGCCTGCCAAGAACACATGGCTAGTCTGATTTTCAGTAGTAATACTTTAGACCCTACTATTTCAAAACAAATGTTTTAAGTCTAGTCTCTTAAGTATTCCCAACTAAATTTATTTTTAAATGGATACATAACTAAATAGTTTCCTTGAGCTTCACACCAAATGGTCCTCTTAATAGCATTTTCCCTCCCTAGATCTGAGCTCTTGTCTCTTGAGTCTTAGAGAAGCTGTTGAAGATCATGGCAACAACTGAATCAGAGCTGGGACATAATGAGAGCTAACATTTCTGGAGAACTTGCTGTGTGCCAGGCTCTGTTCTAAGAACTTTCAGTTATGTTAACTAATTTACCTTTTACAGCAGCATATGAGACATAGATTATAATTATTGCCCTTTATACTGAGGAAGAAACCAAAGCACCTTGCCTGAGGTCACCCAGTTGGAAACAGAGTTAAAATTCCAACCTAGAAAGTCTGATTCTATTGCCTATGTTCCTAACCACTACTCTATATTAAACCTCTGGAGCAATCCGATTCAACACCCATTTCATAAAGAAAGTGCTCCCTGTTCCTGGTTAAATAGTATATAAGAGAGAATGGGACGATAATTTTCCTCTGTCAAATTTTACATGGATTGTGAATTAGCCCAGGCTGGGCGAGTTCAGAGAAATTACAACATTATTGGTTTTGGGAGCCATATATCTAGGCTTGTCCAATTTGATAAATAAAAATATAGGACACACAATTAAATTTGAATTTTGGATAATTAATGAATAATTCATTCGTATAAGTATGTTCCATGCAATACTTGGGACAAATTTATGCTAAGAAATTATTTATTGTTTATCTGAAATTCAAAAATTTTTTTTTTAGATATTTGAAATACAACTTTATTCTGATTCTAAATGTAAAGGAATGGGAATGACAGTAACAAACAAGATTTCACCACTGAATATTGTGATGTGACTGCAGCAGTCTCATATCTGAAACTCAAGGAATCAACTGCGTTCCAAACAGCTAAATATGCAGGTCCAAACAATGAAGGTATATTTTAAACTGCCACATTCACTCCGAAGCCCACTCATCTCCTTCAGCATCCCACAGATGAAGCACATGTTCCGCTTAGCTAGATAATAATGAGGTGGCACACACGCTGCACCGCTGACATCACAGGACAGCTGCCTATAAAACTAGACTTCTGACGCTGGGCTCCTGCTTCATTCTCACAGGTCATCATCCTCATCCGGGAGAGCAGTTGTTTGAGCAGCCTCTAAGTCGGGCTCATACTGCGCTGCCAAAGCTGGGTCCATGACAACCTCCGGTGGGGCAAGAGCAGGCATGGCAACAAATTCCAAATTAGGGTCTCCAATGAGCTTCCTAGCAAGCCAGAGGAAGGGCTTTTCAAAGTTGTAGTTACTTTTGGCAGAAATGTCGTAGTACTGAAGATTCTTCTTTCGGTGGAAGACAATGGATTTTGCCTTCACTTTCCTGTCCTTAATGTCCACTTTGTTGCCACATAACACGATGGGGATGTTCTCACACACTCGCACCAGATCTCTATGCCACTTAGGCACATTCTTGTAAGTAACTCTGGATGTTACATCGAACATTAGGATGGCACACTGGGCCTGGATGTAATAGCCATCCCTCAGTCCGCCGAATGTCTCCTGGCCAGCTGTGTCCCACACACTGAACTTAACAGGTCCTCTGTTACTGTGGAACACTAGGGGATGAGCCTCAGCACCCAAGGTGGCTACATACTACTTCTCAAATTCACCAGTCAAATGATGTTTCACAAAGGTCGCTTTTCCGGTACCACCGTCACCAACCAATACAAGTTTAAACTGGACCCGGGGCTCTCCCTGCGCAGCCATCGCGGCGTTCCTTCCAGAAGGGTCTCCGTGCCCGTCCGACTAAGGCTGGAAAGATGGCGGAAGCCTGAAATTCAAATTTAATGAAGCACTTTGTATTTTATCTGGTGACCCTACATACACTAAAAGGTAAAATGTTAAATGTGTGCCTTAAGGGCACTTTTACTTCTTATTTTATTCAGTTCTATATCATTGGAATTATTTATAGTTTACCAAGATTCTCAAAACCTTTCCTGAAACCTCGAGCCAACCTCAGCTTATACACATGGCTGAACCAGTCTTTGTTTCGTTTTTTCTTTTTTTTTGAGACTGAGTCTCGCTCTGTCACTCAGGTGGAGTGCAGTGAAGTGATCTTGGTTCATTGCAACCTCTACCTCACAGGTTCAAGCGATTCTCCTGACTCAATTTCCTGAGTTGCGGGGATTACAGGTGCATGCCACCATGACCAGCGAATTTTTGTATTTTTTAGTAGAATGGGATTTCACCATGTTGGCCAGTCTAGTCTCTAACTCCTGACCGAAAGTGATCCACCCACCACAGCTTCCCAAAGTGCTGGGATTACAGGTGTGAGTCACGGCACCCAGCCTGAACCAGCCTTTGACAATGTCAAATTACCACAACTTGCTGGATTTTTCCCAGAGGAGTAAATACTTGCAAAAAAATGGATTATGTTTATAATAATAAATATTAAAGCTAACAATTATTATATACCAGGTATAATTGTGAGAACTTTAGACAGGATAACTAATTCACAAAATAACTCTGGGAGGTAGGTAATATTATTATACCATTTTACAGATGACAAAACCTGAACAACAGTGAGATTGACTAAATTACCCCAAACAATTTATAATCTATTTGGTGCTACACTGTTGAATATGGTTGCCACTAACCACATGTGGCAATTTCAATGAAAATGAAATATAGTTCCTCAATTACAGGCCATATTTCAAGTGCTCAGTACCCACATGTGGCTAGTGGTTACCATACTGGACAGCACACCAAAAACGATTCCAGCATTGCAGGCAGGGCCAGCTTCATGGACATGTGATGTGTAGTTTCACAGAGCCCCAAGTCTAGGAGGGTCCAGGCTTGGTTAATACCTTGTTGTTGTTGTCTTGAGTAGTTGTAATAACTTTTTAAGAAGAGGTCCTGCACTTTTATCTGGCACTGGGACCAGCATGCTATGGAGTGGGTCCTGATGGCAGAAGGTTTATTGGACAGCACTGTTGTGCATCAGGAAGTAAAGAAGATGGTGTATAATTGGGGTAGACCTTATTGATGAAGGAGGATTTGAGCTGTGCAGTGCTGCCAAGAGCTAGTTCCCACTGCCTAGAGTAAAAACACTTTTTCCAGTGTTCCCTTTCTCCAAACGGCCAATGAAATTAAAACCTTCACACAGAATTTATATACATGTAGGAAGTAAAAGTTCCGGGGAAGGGGGGTAAAAAAAAAAAAAAAGAAAGTAAAATTCCTCTTCAAGTTTCCCTTCTTGTTAAAGAATAATAATAATAAATGTTAGAAATAATAGTTTCTTTTAAAGACTAACTTTCTTCAAAGCCTTCTTGCTTTTTGTTAGTAACTTTTTGTTAAGCCCTATCCTATGTAGCTGTTAGATATAAAAAGAATAAGTACATTCTATGTCCTTGTACTTTAACCATGATATTTGTGCTAGACGTGCTCACAGGCACATAGTACATTCTATGTCCTTGAACTTTAACTAATATATTTATTACTTTTCTAAGTTTCGCAAGTAACTTCCTCTCCCTTTCTTTTTAGACTTCCTCTTTTCCTTTCTTCTCCATTGCCTTTACCAATTTAGAAAAGTTTTAAGTTGCTAGCCAATCAAGTTCAGTTTAGATTGTGAAGTCTAGCTCCAACCAACAGAGCTCAGACACAGCAATAAAGACTTAATGCATAAAGAATAAATACGCCTGCCTTTCCTTGGTTCATTGTACTCTCATGGCAAGACTGCTAGCAAGTAGTACCCTTTCTGCAGAAAGTAAAATTGACTTGCTGAGAAAGCTTTTTGTCTGAATTCTGATTTTTCCTTGCAGTACCTAAGAACAAGCATTCTGTCTCTAACAATACATATGCAATATAGTTGGGTCCTGAGCCCCTTTGAGACTGCCCCTTGAGCTGACCAGCTGTTCCTATCCCACTCCATCCCCCATGTCTGACCTGGAGCTCACCCGAGGGGGAAATTTCCCCAACAATCACTCCTAAAAAAAATACCTAGCATTCAGAATCAGTGAACGTCTTTCAAGTGGAGGTAATTCTCGTGTGAACAAAGTAGTACTTGAATCTCGTCTTCCCAACTTCCTGAATACTCCCAGATAAAGCACTAAGTGAGGAGGCAAGCCACTGCCTAGACTCATAGTTGCCCCATAAATGGTAACAACCAAAACATGCTGACTCATCTTGACTACAACATAATTCCATAACATATCATCTTCCCACATAACAAAGTTTTCACAATTAGAAGAGAGGTGGAACTGTTTTAACATACAAATCCTATGTCTGTTTTTCCACTTAATAGCATGTGAAATAAACTTACCCCATTATGACAATAGCTCTTAGAGAAGCGCAGGGTGTAGCCAGTAAAGATCTTTCTGAGGTGGTTTTCTTGAGGTTTAGGGGTTAAAAAACTATCACTTGTTAAACAGTACGTAAGGGATTTTCAAATGTAAATCATTCGTAAATTTATCTCAAGGGGTATTAGGAAATGAATAATGAAACCAGCACACGTACTATGTGCCTGGGAGGAAAACTTCAGGAAAATAATTATCAAGATTTTAATGAAAACCAAGCAGTAATTAGCCTCATTGGTTAAACTAATTAAGTGAGCAAAAAACACTTTTAAAAAATAAAATTTCAGATGTTTAATATTAAAGCATTTGTACTACAAATTTCAGTGTAGCTTTCAGAACATGTAAGTGCAATTTAGAGAATCGTTCTCCACATAATGGAGTGGTGGAAGCAGCAATAAATGATGTAAAAAGTACATTAAAGGCTACGTGAAATCACAAGTCCATACTTTATTTTAGTATGCCATCAGTGCTTGTGTTTAATGTCATATTTGAGTCTTCATTATAGTGTTGCACTTTTCGAATTCATGTGACTAAATTTAGGCTGATGTTAGCCCAGAATAGTTTTGACCCCCAACTCACTGAAACCTGTGCTATTTATCATTAACCCCAACACAAAGGGGTTAATGTGCTGTTTGTTGGAATTATTTTGCACTTTTACAACCAAACTTGTCTAATGAAGACTCTACATCCAGGACTCCATGTTTGGATCCCCTTCCACGAACACTCCCTTCGTGGAAGCTGCTTTTCTCTACCCTGGATTTTCCCTCTGGAGTCCCCTTCCACACTCTCTTGTGGAAGGCTGTCTTCTCCTCCTAAACTCCATCTCTCTCTCTCTGTTCCCTTCCACTCAGTATAGAAGCTGCTTTCCTCTCCTGGATTCCATCTTTCTGGATTCACTCAGTGTGAGAGTTAGCTGTTTCTTTCTCTCTCCTTCTCCTGTTTCTCTCTCTCTCTTTAAATAAATCACTTTTTACAAAAAAAAAAAAGAAGACTCTACATACATCCATCTACTATACATTCATTAATTCATTTGCTCATTTATCAATTACCTGGATGCCCGCCTTTTCTTTGCATGGCAGTGTCCTAGGAGCTAGGGTTACAAGTAGCTTACAGTCTAGTTGGAGGAATCATATTTGTAAATAAGTGCCATTAATTGTTAGAACTTCTGCGTTAGGAATACCTACAGGATTTGGTGGGACCTGAGGCAGTAGCAGTGAATAGAGAAATGGATGAGCATGGGGAGGAAGGCCTACAGAGGAGGAAGTGCTGGAGCCTTGTCCTTTTGTCTCGTTATTCATTGTTCTTTCTTCCTACAACACCCTTCCCTCACTTCTTCATTGGGCTAAAGCTTGCTCAAAACTTTAAAAAATGGTGTACAGCCTGTAATCCCTGCACTTTGGGAGGCTGAGGTGGGCAGATCACTAGAGGTCAGGAGTTCCAGACCAGCTTGGCCAACAGTGTGAAAAAAATACAAAAATTAGCTGGGCGTAGTGGCAGATGCCTGTATTCCCTGTTACTCAGTAGGCTGAGGCAGGAGAAGCACTTGAACCCAAGAGGTGGAGGTTGTAGTGAGCTGAGATAACGCCACTATACTCCAGCCTGGACAACACAGTGATACTCTGTCTCAAAATAATAATAATAATTAATAATAAATGGTGTACATATTTTCTTAACCAGTTATGTATGAATGCATCTTAATTATGTAAAATATTGAAATACAAAAGTGCATAAATAGTAGAAGTCTTTCTTTACCCTGCTCCTCTTAGTCTTCTACTTAGAGGTAGTACTTTTAACACTTTGTATGTATGCAGAACTTTTTTTGTACATCTACCTGTGTTTATATATATATGCCTTTGTGTATGTATATATGTATAGATGGACATGTTTATTCATATTAATTACATACAAACAATAAAATAAATATTGTTTTCAATTTTTTATTTTACTTAACAGTTTATCATAGGAATTGTTTCATTACAGTTCTTCTTGTTTTTTGTTTTTTGTTTTCTTTTTTTGAGACAGAGTCTTGCTTTCTCTGTCACCCAGGCTGGAGTGCAGTGGCGTGATCTCAGCTCACCGCACCCTCGGCGCCTCCCCCCTCCCCCGCCCCATTCAAGTGATTCTCCTGCCTCAGCCTCCTGAGCAACTGGGATTGCAGGAGCGCGCCACCATGCCCAGCTAATTTTTGTATTTTTAGTAGAGATGGGGTTTTACCATATTGGTCAGGCTGGTCTCTGACTTCGTGATCCACCTGCCTTAGCCTCCCAAAATGCTGGGATTACAGGCATGGGCCATCGCGCTCAGCTCATTACAGTTCTTCTATATCAAAATCCAGGAATTGGAAATACCTTTTTTTTTTTTCTTAGCCAATCCCCTATGGATAAAAATTTAGAATTTTCTCCCAATTTGCACTATTATAAATGCTGGAATGAACACCTACACACATCTTTATGTACATGTGCATGTCTGTAGACTACATACCTGA